CTTCTTCTTGATAACTGCAAGCCTGATTGCTTGTATATGATGTATGATGTACCTTGGGTAGACCTCTCGCAAATTTGTTCATCTCAATATGATATCTTCAATTTACTAATTATCTGCTATTACTGATTGTCCGGCGTCGTCAACTTTACAATTTCAACTTCTTCGAAACTGCAGGTCAGAATGATTTCAAATTTGATATGCAAGTACTTTGGATGGTTCTTTTTCCGATTTGTCATTTCATGTCAAAATCTCAAATCCTCTATATTCACTACGTTCAATTACCCACCATAGAATCCGGTCAGTCAAAATGACTATTTTGAACTGTAGGCATTAATCAGTGATTCTGCCAATGACGGAGAGATAAAATCTAGGTCAGGGGATGTCCCATGACCCCCAGATTTGTTTCCCTTAAGTCACAAACAACGTGACCGAGGTAATATGGCGACGCCACCTCACCTTGACCTTTACTCTTTTCATTTCTCTGCATCGACGGGGAGCAAGTCTAGCGGCTCTGCCTGTAAAGCCTGCCTTTTCCTGTCCGGGTTTCTGGCTTGGGTTGCTAATGACACTGTGTGGCTGGTAGGACTTTGTCGAGCGGAGCTTATCATATGAGTGATTGTCCGTCGACGTCCGTCGTCCGTGTCAATGTTTTACTTTTTCGACTTCTTCTTGAAAACTACAAGCCTGAATGCTTTGATACTTGGTGTATATGTACCTTGGGTAGACCTCTCTTAGGTTTGTTCATTTCATGTTGATATCTTCAATTCTCTAATTTTGGTGAATATTTTTGTCATTTTTGGTAAAAAGTGATATTTTCGACTTCTTGTTAAAACTGCAAGTGCAATTGCTTTGATATTACATATATAGGTACTACATGTGGACCTCTCTCAGATTTGTTCATTTCGTAATGATATCTTTAATTCTCTAATTTTGGTGAATATTTTTGTCATTTTTGGTAAAAAGTGATATTTACGACTTCTTATTAAAAACTAATAGTTCAATTGCTTTGATATTACATATATAGATACTACATGTAGACCTTTCTCACATTTGTTCATTTTGTGATGATATCTTCAATTCTCTAATTTTGGTGAATATTTTTGTCATTTTTGTTAAAAAGTGATATTTTCGACTTCTTGTTAAAAACTGTAAGTCCGATATTGTTCATTTTCTAATGATGTCTTCAGTTCTTTAATTGAAATGTGCATTGCTAACAGCGGAGCTATCTCAGCCGATAGGCTGCTTGTTCTTATTTTTTCCCCCCGTATCGATTTCCCCTCTTTGTGTGTATAATTTTTCACAACAAAGAAAATAAAATCCAGCGACACAGGTTAACCATGTCGCTGGTTTTTTTTTGCGTCACCTATTCCAACTGTGTTTCGCTTCCCTCATGCATGTCATGTTCATTTTATGATTTACCAATGTATTTGGAAATGGATAGATTTAATGACAGCACCAGAGGCTCGTCATCGGTTTGGTCTTCTCTTTTTTCGAGGCAACTGTGCAGTGGTTATAATCAGAATTTACCAGCATAGAATCCGCTCGAAAAGCTATTTTTGCCGTGACTGTGTGCAGGGTTCGTAGTTTTTGCCTCAAAGGCGTGTGTTTTCACTGGAGTTTTGAGGCCTAGGATGTTTTCCAGAGCCATGCAAAATCGCTGTGACTGACCGCGCTCGTATTTTCACAGCAAAGTCGCGCATCCAGTAAAAATCGATTAAAGTGAGTTGCGTGTTGGCATGAGTGGAAAGTCCTCACGAACAGCTACCGGTACTTTGCGTACTGAGACGTCGAGTAGGAGGCCCAACGATGGAGGTACCAATATTTTTCAGTCTCTCCCAACTGATTGAGGGCATCCTCACAGTCTGTTGCACTGCCTACAATTCAAGGTGGCGAGCATACACTGATTGGTGTAGCGAAAGGAAGATCGATCCATGTCATCCCTCTATTGGCCAGGTAGCAGACATCTTCATCCAGCTGTTTGACAAAGTGGGTTTGTCTTACACAGCGATCATTGGCTACAGGTCCGTCTTATCCCCCCCTCCATTGAGAACGCTTTGGGACTAGCCAATTGTTCTATTATTAGGAGACTTTTTAATCCCCGTTCGGACGCAGTCCGAAAACGGGGACTAATGTTTTGCCCTGTGTGCGTCCGTCCGTCCGTGCGTCCGTGATCACCTGTATCTCGAACATGCATGGACCGATTAAGTTCAAACTTCACTCATACATCACACATTATATGGGACATATGCACATGCATTTTTTTCATGATCCGATTAACGATAGACGAATAGCGGCCATTT